AATGACTGGAAACCCTTTGCCTGTTCTTACGAGTCTTGTTTCACATTGTTTTGAGCGAACGGATGTTCACGAGTATGGCGACAACTTCATGAATCCAAGGACCCTGCATATCAACAGGGGAATGTTCAAGCTGGTGGAGGCTGTGTGATGGTATGGGGCGTGTACAGTTGGAGTGATGTGGGACATCTGATAGGTCTAGAAACGACTCTGACAGGTGACACGTACGTAAGCATCCTGTCTGATCACCTGCACCCATTCATGTCCATGGTGCATCCCGACGGACTTGAGCAATTCTAGCAAGGCAAATTCACATGTTCAGAATTGCTAGAGATTGGCTCCAGGAACACTCTTCTGGATTTTAACACTCCCATTGGCCACCAAAACCCAGACATTAACATTATTGAGCATACCTGTGATGGCTGTTCAGAAGAGATTTCCACCCCCTCGCACTCTCACGGATTCATGGACAGCCCTGCGGGATTCATGGTGTCAGTTACCTCCAGCACTTCTTCAGATATTAGGTCTAGTCTATGCCACTTCGTGTTGCGGTACTTCTGCGTTCTCGCGTGGGCCCTACTTGATATTTGGCAGGTGTACCAGTTATTTTTCCTCTTCAGTGCATAATACATTCGTTTACATTTGTATTGAATAATTAAAAAAATAATTAAAATGCCTGTAAACTTGAGTTTCCGAGTCAATGACCTCCATGTCGATCAGGTTTTTGTCCAGTTTCTCTGATCTATTGAGCAAATGCTGAGGTGGCCCCTTGTTTTGCTTCTGAGAATAAATATAGCTTCACTATACCTATGTTTTGTCAAGCTCTCCTTTTGATTGTAGTGGTAGGAGTAGAGCTGAGGTGAGTTACTATTTTGTATCAATGCAGAAAAATCAAATCTGCACTTCGTTTACCGATGCAAATATGTTTCCTATAACTCGGGAAAGAAAATATCTAGTTTTTCAAATGTTGCTTATCTCGCGCTTTTTTAAGTTTTATAATTTATTTGGTTGTTTTATTTTTATACTTTTATTCATCTCTCAGCTATTTATAATTAAAATGTTGGGAAGTGTTTCTGGAGTTCAACGAAACCTGCGCAGATAATCTTTTCCCCATTAGTCACATACAGTTTTTACTGTTTCGACGAAATAAAATCAACAGTTTGGGGGTTTTTGTTGGGGTTGTCCAATAAAATAATTTCTCCGACGCTGTAATTGGATCTTGACCTTTTGTAGACTGGCTCGAGTGGCAACTCTCAGCAATCAGTGGCAAAGTCTCAGCTCCAATGACATCGCATGGTATTTTACCGTGTGACGTCGCAAAAAATGTCATTCTGCATATACTCCAAAATCTTCATGGAGGAAAATATTTTTAATTTACTTTCATTCTTGTATTGCCCAATTTAACCATTTAAGTATTTTCCCTTCTTTGAATCGTGATCTGAAAGGTTGAATGCATTGAAACATGTATCTTGCACGGCCACTCATGCTGCACAGTGCAATTACGATTCACAGTATATATCCTATCAGTCTTCACTTTACAAGACTCATATTGAGACTGCTGTTAAGAAAATCTTACCCATGTCCCTTAATGAGTGGTCTGTGTATTTCACAAGCAAGGTGAGGAGGGCGCCTCATTCTTAGGATAGGACGCAAAGGGTCGCAGCAGTTTAGTTTCGAGGACACCAGGAAAAGTAGTAGTAGCATTTGTTTCGCTGTCCTCCCATACCTCTAAATTTATCTCTATACATTCCTGCTTGCGTAATTCTGCAATACTTCCGTACCTTCTCACTCTACAACTTCCACTCGACTAACAGACTAAATGGATCATCACTCATTCTCACATGACAAAAGCAATTTCCTCCTTCAAATACGACAAAATCCGTCCTGAACAGTGGCGGCTGTTTCTAGGGCGGCGCCCTCCTCAGAAATATTAACCTCGTTTGGTTGGTTGTTAGTAATTCGGGACGCGTCAACTACTCAGGTAATTAGTCCCGTTAGTGTAGTGTATGTTTTTTTTCCACGGGAGGTGGCGGTGATCTCCCCTCGCTGGATAACTGTCAGCTAGTGGCGTTTTCCCCAAACAGGCATCTGCCACTAGCGGGGCACCGCCCCAGCCGGGACATGCTCCAAGTTCCAGACCGGCCTCCCGGCATGTGTGATAGTATAGTGCATGTCAGGGGTAGTGTGTGTAAGGGGTGAGGATAAACCAAGGGAGAGGAAGGAAAGTTCGCGCGTGGTTCTTGGCCCGTTTGTTATTGTACTGCTCCGGCATTCGCCTGGTGTTAATCGGAGGAATCACGGAAAGCTACCGATCAGAACAGCCAGCCTCTAGAATTCTCCTCCAGACTGTGATTGAATTCCACCTAGCTGACAAGCTAGTATCGAAAATTTTGCCACTGTCGGGACTCGAACCTAGGACCTCCCGGTCAGAGGCACTGCAGCCACATCAGTTGAGCCAACTCTCCTTGTACAAATCTGCAAAAAGTCTTACCCCTGCAATAAATGAACTCGGTTAATTTGTGCATGTCACCAGCGCAATCTGTCTGTCCATGGCTGGTACATGCGAAGCAATGAAAACTTGAAGAATAGTGTGTGTGTGTGTGTGGTGTGTGGGGGTATTGGGAGTTGGGTGGGGGCAGCGTGCTCCTAATATTAGGGTTTTCTTCATCTGAGTCCGCGGCTATTAAGTTAAGAATATCGGCCCTTTCATCTAATTCCATAAATGTTTGTTTTGTTTACTGGAAATATTTTTTAAAATTTCTTCGATTTTTACGTGACTATCATCTTTTGTTATCAACGTAAAAGTTGTCTTATACAATGATTATAATCCCGATACGTGCAAATCGTTTATACTCTACATGCCATAATTTTTCTCGTTCAAGAAATATTTTGAAGAAGTAAAAGAATGTATGTGATAGTTTGGACATACATATCGTCCCCTCCTATACTTCGGATTTCATAACGTGGCGCGTCAGGGTCTGTCTTCACAATGGAAAATCTCACGATATTTCGCGTCTTTCTCGGTCATGTCACTTGACACATCGCACCGCTTGATAATGAGACATCTAGCTGCACGACCCAGAAAGACGCAAAATGCCGTGAGATATTCCATCGTGAAGACAGGCCCTGACGCGCCACATTATGGAAACCGAAGTATAGTTTGCAACCCACCGGCCAGCACTGGTCCTGATTTCCTAAAACACGACCCTAAGAACAATCGAACACCCCACTTTAATCTTCGATTCTTCTCTCCAATCCTTCTACTTTCTCGATTCATAAAAAAACTTCCATCAGCATGATCTCAAAACAATACATATCACTTCTCTCCCACGATTGTCCCATCAGCCTTATCTCCGTCACCGGCAAAGTCTTCAAAAAATTATCCTAAACAAAATAGAAGATAGAATCAACCATCCTATGTTCCAAACGCCCACCTTCATCAACTACATCTTATCACAATACCTCTCAACACAATACCCTATCTCTCCACAACACAATACCCTATCTCTCCACAACACATCCCAGATCTGATAAAAACACTTCAAAATTTGTAACTAATCCTATGTTTGATTACTTTCATTCTATGTACAAATTCTTAACTCTCTCCTAAGAACTTTTCACGAAAAAACAAACAAACAACATTCCCTCGAGATCCTTAGACTCCCTCCTCCTCCAACTAGAAAAATTACAGCAATGAAACTGCACATGGCCCACACGACAGACAAACAAAACTACATCTTTCCCAATATTAAATTGTAACATCCCTAACCTAACTTCCCAAAACAAATCCTTACACCACTCCAAAATTACCTCCGAACCACTCCAAAATCACCACTTACCCACACCTGACAATAGGATCCATCATTTACACTACTACGTCGAGCAAGCCATCTACCTCTCGCCCTTTCCTAGCTTCTCTGGGGGGAACGGAAAGGCGTCGTCCTTACAAATCTACAACTTCGAAACTCCCCAAGTCTGCAAAGGAAGAGTCCAGAGAGTCGAGAGCGTTTAGGGTTGCCAGGTCTTCTTCCAAAATATAGTGGTCAAGCTGTTGGGGGGGGGGGAGGAAGAGGAAGTAGAAAATAATTCAAATAATTATATATTTTCTACAACTGCATGAAAACGCAACTGTTGTGCATTGCTAACCGTACGTGATGTTCGTCATTTTTTAATTTACATTAAAAAATATTGTTGCTAAAATGGCCGAATGATCGATTACCATGCAATATAAGTTGCTCGCTAAATTCGGCGGAAAGGGCCCAAAGTCCCCGCTAAGCGTCAGGATCTTCTGCGCATGCGCAGATGCACTAGTGGTGCGAAACGAACTCCGCATGCACAGAAGATCGATAGTGCATTAACGTTCGGTGGCTCAAACTCCCTAATAGCGGGGCTTAGCGAGTCCCACTAACACTTCGAGCTCGATTTCGAGTTGGCACATGCGTAGACTAAAAAATGCAGTCTGTTGCTTTCAGGGAAGGCTGGCACAAGGGAATTAGTGTACGTCATAGCGTCAGGACTATCGATCTTCTGCGCATGCGCAGGTTGCACTAAAGTGATGCAAAACTTGGACAGCGTATGCGCAAAAGATCGATAGTGCTTTAATCGATGGAGGTGGCACAAACTCCCTAATGTGTACACAAACTACTCCAGCACTATCGATTTTCTGCGCATGCGTAGATGCGAAACTTACACGCGCAGAAGATCGATAGTGCTGTAACGATCGAGTATGCACAATTGTCCAGAGTCAATCGGACTTGATCGTGTTTGTGGTATTTGCAAGGAATACCGGTCCACAGTGTAAGATAATTTTTCTTACACCGTGTCCACTGGGTAAGAGAACTTCTCGTGCACCATGAGTGGCTCACGATGTGATTCGATTCTGTTCAGCGACGTGAACGCATAGAGCACAAATATCGATTCCTCCTACGGACTAAGATATATCTTATTCCATAATCCCTCCTCTATGCATGAATTACGCACCTTGGCGTTGAAACATGAATGGCATCGTGCGTTTGAAGTAAATCAGCTGTTGACAGTTTCAACCAATCGAGAGCTTGACGTCACCATAGTGACGTCGCTAGTGACATACAGTGACACACAGCTTTCGATTGGATGAAACCGTCAACAGCTATTTTACTTCAAAAGCAGCTCTCAATAAATCCTGAATAAATTCTACTATACTCTACATTACATTACATTACATTACATTACATTACATTACTACTATACATTATACGGGCTTTAAGCTCACCCTACTTCGGCGCACCCGGCACCGGCAGGTGCTGGCAGGGTGCTGGCGCGTGTATGTTGGGTGAGGTCGATGAAGTGATATTATTTCACTTACTTTCATCAGTCTCTGTGATATATAAGTTTTTAACGACATATTGACGAAAGTTAATTAGGAAACAAACGTGTAACTGCCTGAAAAGAAAGATAAGGTGACACCTTCCGATAGAGCAGACCGTATGAACTATGATGTTCCAACTGGGAATGTTGAATTGCTCACGTTTTGGAACTCGAAAGCTAATGTTACCTCTTTCGTCAGGAAGTGTTCTTCAAATGTGCCATGAGAAGGTGATTGTTATTGTTTTGTATAATTTGAGGTTAATTGCGTACTTAAATTCCATACGATCTAAATGTCAGAATTTAACGAAAAAGTTTTTAATAAAAAAAAATATAAGAACATTCCTAAGAGAGATTAGTGTAAACCATAAAAACGAGAAGAGAAAATGAAAATATTATTACTGTGAAAGCATTCAATTAACTGATCAATTATAAAGTAATTCTGGAAATATTGAAAATAATTTTATTGGACCAAAGTAATATTTGTGGATTGACATTTTCAAAGTATGTGTGTCATTCAGATCTATCGGTTAGCTGTGTGAGATAATTGAGCTGTTTTATTTAAATGCCATATAAGTGATTTTCACATACAGTACTTTCATCCTTAAATGAACTAATTGATTTGTAAATGCAATTTGGTTCTTGAATTTTTCTTTCTTTTGTCACATTAGATAGCAGCTGGATTTGCTAGTAGACGAATGTTTGTAACAATTTTTTTTCTTTGCAAAAAGAAATGGTTCTTTGAGAAAAATTGCTTCTTCTCAACGGTTCCAGAAAGAGGCAGGTATTTGTAACATGAAAAGAAGGGCAATGAGTTTCACTGCCCCCTTTAAAAATCAAGAAAAACCCTTATTTAATACCATCACTTGAGATGTAATTGTCATTTATTTCTGATAAATATATAACATAGAAGTTTATGTGCATGTTATATAGGCAAATTATCCCAAATAACTACTGCACATAATTAATAAAGTATATTTTCCACAGAAGAACCATGGGTATCAAAAATTGGTAATAGATATTCCTTGAGAAGTCATACATGTGGAGAACTCTGCCTTAGCCATGTCAATAATAAAGTCAAATTATGTGGATGGGTGCAGTATCAACGAATGGGCAGATTTTTAATATTACGTGATAGATATGGTGTAACTCAGCTTATTGTGCCTGATACTGTAAGTATCTGTTGTTGCTGCAGATTTCAAAGAAACCAAGATTGACAAGAATATGAATTTTAGGTATTTTTAAATTTATTCACAGCGGAAAGATCTTAAGGAGTTATTGGAAACTCTTCCTTTTGAGTCTGTAGTTGCAGCTGAAGGAATTGTTCAAAAGAGGCCACCTGGACAGGAGAACTTAGTAATGAATTTTATGTTGAATGTATAATATTTTAATTTTATGTAAGTACATTGGTTTACAGTGTAAATTTTGATATTCTAGCATATGCCAACAGGTAAAATAGAAGTTCATATAGAGAAGCTCATTGTACTAAATGTTGCGAAACCACAACTTCCATTTAGTATCAGGGAATATAATCAGGTATGAAATAAATGCACCAGCAAATTTGTGTATTGCTTTGGGAGAATTGATGATTTATTATTTGATTATCTTGTAGGCTAAAGAGGCCCTACAAATGAAGTACAGGTACCTGGCTCTGAGGTTTCCTCATCTTCAAAAGAACTTACTTCTTCGATCTAAGTTCCTTCTGCGAATAAGAGAGTATTTGTGCAAAGAATGTGATTTTGTGGAAGTTGAAACACCTACACTATTTCGGAGAACACCTGGCGTAAGAATAAAAAATAATTTTACATGCTTAGGATTTTGAAATCTGTTGCTTTGTAAATATTTGATGAACTGTTCTTGCAGGGTGCTCAAGAGTTCGTTGTGCCCACTAGGGAATCTGGTTTGTTTTACTCATTAGTACAAAGTCCACAACAATTGAAGCAACTGCTCATGGTGGGAGGTTTGGACCGGTACTTCCAAATTGCTCGATGTTACCGTGATGAAGGTGCTAGACCTGATCGTCAACCAGAATTTACACAAGTATGTTGTTCATACCTATCTTTAAAGGGCTGGAGTGGAAAGGCTTGCAACCAAACTAAAACTTGTATGATAAATTAATTTCTAATAATTGTAATGAATTATACTTTCTTTATACCTACTATCCAATCCATATATGTACTACAAAATACATACTTAATTAATATTAATATGGATAAAATTTTCTTTAAAGCCAGACCTTTTCTTTTGATGTTATTAGGGATTTATTTGTGGAAAAGAGCTTCAAGGGATTCATTTCCTGCACACTTTCTAAATGAAACACATGCAATAATAGTAAGAAAATTAATAAAGAATTAAACAATAACGTTATGTGAAATAGTCTCTTACTGAAGTACAAAAGATGCTATTATCACAGAACAGACAATCCGGGGAAAATGGAACAAACGAAATGAAGTGTACCTTCCAACTTTCCCCCTCTTTATAGACTTTGAGAAAGCCTATGAAAGGATGAACAGAAACAAAATGTGGGAAATACTGGAAATTAAACATAATAAAAGGAATCCAGAATCTGTATACAGACTCTGATTAAAGTAAGAAAGAATGATTGAAGCAATACAGAGACTTTTAAAACAACCAGAGGACTGAAACTGGAGTGTGGGTTATCTTCATGCCTGTTTAATATACATGCTAATCACATGATCAAAAAGTAAAAACCTTTATAAATTTAAACAAAAGACAAATGGTCCAAACAATTTTCTATACAGACCGCATAATCGTAACAATGGAATCAGATGACCTGCAGAGGGCAAAAAATTAACTTCATAAAATAGCCCTAACATGCAACATGAAAATCTGGACAAATAAGATTAGAACTATGGCATTTCAAGGCAAAGAAATGGAAGGGTTAAAATTGTTATAGATAAAAATTAATAGAACAGGTAGCAAAATATATGTATCTAGGAAACCTCATTAGATCAAATTCAGAAGTTTAAGAAAGAAAAATTCAAAAATATAATGGGATAAATGGAATAATCAAGAAAAACTTTTGAAGAGATATGACAACTGAGAGCAACCTCAGAATACCCAACAAGCCAAAGCCAATAAATAGGAAGGAAAAAATAGGAAGATCCAATAAAAGATAGATTGCTAAGGAACATCTGGAGGAATAATTATGAGATCTACTGTCTTTTAACGGGAACAGGCACCAGCCAGCTGTTCATGTTATGTCTCATCCAAAACCCTTGGATACCAAAGCATACTTATCTCTTGCCATTTGTAATCGATACATTTCATTAATATGTAAAATAAATACAAGACACTAAACAATTACTAATTCTTACAATTAGTTAGGCTTGTAATTTATTGTCAATCATGTATTTTATTTGACCCTTATTATTTTGCAAGGTTCTGTGTTATTAAAAGGGTCAACCTGGTAGGGGGGGGGGGTGTCCCCATGGAGTCTCCTCCAGAAGACGGTAATACATATTAAAAAAATATAGGTTTTACTAATTTTCTAATGAAAAAAGTTTTACAAGAAAACATCGAGTTAGCTGAACACTAAACCTGTGGTCTTCCCCCCAAGAAAAATTCTGGATGGATCTCTGGTTATTGACAAAATATCAGGAAATAATATATATAGAATTTTTGAAAAGGACAATTTTATTTTTGGTAAAAAAAACGATATGATTTGGGCAAAATATCAAATGGATATTAATTTCAGTTTTCTTGTTGAACTGGATTTATTAATCCAATTTAGTACAATTTTAAAAGTATTTATATTTGAGAAAATAATGCAGTTAACATTCATCTTTTCTTGTTTTCAGAATATAGCAAAAAGTTAAAAATATATTGTAAAATAAAAGAAACAATTAGTTCCCCTCCTTAAAGAAGTTTATTGCTATTGAGATGATAAAATGTGGGTCTATTGAGTATGTAAAATCCAAGCTGTTTGAATCGGGATAAGAATGACAGATTTAGAGGTGATGAAAAATACTCACTGTCTGAATTGTTTCAATTAGTATATGAATGAAATAAACTGCAATTAATATTGAATAAACATTGTCAATTGGATTGATAATGGGTGTAAGCGACTGCAAATTATAGAAATGGTAAGAGTCAGGTGCAGCAAATTGAAATGTGAATACGCTATAGAAATGTGTGTTAAAATGGTGTTCGTTTTACAGATTGCATTTAGAAGCCACCTGGCGTTCAATAGTTGCGATCATTTTCCTTGAAATTTTATTATGTGAACAACTTCAAAAATATTTGTTAGAATAAATTGATTTTTATTTTTAGACTAAAATTTCTTTATAAGTATTTTGTATGGAGATCTTATTTATTTTGAAGTGGCAGACGGAGACCATTATTTGAACCATGTTAGTTGATTATTCTCAAGTGCAATAGCACAGGTATGTAATTACTGGAACGTAATGGTCTTTTAGCCGTACGTACTATATAAAGTTTTATCTTATTGGATTGCCTTTTTTTGATTTTTTTTCAACTATGCTTGAACAATTAATGGTATTATAATATCTTGGGAAGTATCCTCTATTCCAGTGGATATATAAATGAGCCATTTTATCAACTGCAGGAAGCTTTATAATATTGGATATATTAAGCCGTTTAAAGTGCTCTGAACATATAAGTAAACAGCGTATTGTCCGAGCACTGTAACAAATGTATCTAACAGGTTAACCTCTTTGAAACTTTTTATCTAGTAATAGACAACTCTCTGATTAGCAAGCAGAATAATTTGTCATGTAACTTTTATTTGTGTAAAAAAGGAATTACTAATAAACTTATTATAATATGCTTAAGTTAGTTATTTTTTATTTAATAGGATTGGCACCAAGTGTTGAAAACTTTTGTAACATTTGCCACAAATTAACTTATGTATTTGAATGTGCTAAATTTGAAAAATCGTGCTGAAAGTGAGCAATACCTTATCAACAACTGTGTTTATAATAGTATTTGTTCTATTAATTCATTTCAATTTTAATTTTATTCAATAACAATCATGAAGTTGGAGCTATGTTTGAAGCCAAGTTGGTAGCACAAACCGACCATTTGAGGGGGCCTTGTTGCTATCAACCTCTCTTGCGGAAATGATTATCTGAAATGCAGACAATGTGGCTTACTTTCATTTAGATTTGTTCTGCCGTATCTAATGGTATTCAAGTGAGGTTCTAGTTAGTAATTTCAGAATTGGTTGAGCAATTTGCCAAGTACTTGCAGGTGATTAAAACCATTTTATGCACATCACGTATATTATTACTCTAATTTCTTGTTAAATACTGCAGAACAAAATACCATCACCATTAAGGAGAGATGTAGTTTCAGATAAAAAATAAATAAATGAAAATAACAAACTTAATATTTTCTTTTACTGTAAAGTCTAATAAAGTTTGTGTGAAAATTCATAATTCCCTTTCAAAAATATGGTTTATCCACTTTGATTATCAAGAAGTGAAACTATCAAGTTCAGCTTTGTATTAAATATGATTATTATTAGAAAACGTAATAATTCATTACTTATAAACTTGTATCAGTGTTGCCACCCTTCTCTAGGATAAATAATCAAAAGTAATAACCAAAAATTGTAGTACATTAGAATTTTTCCCAATTGGATAAATGCTCAACATTTGTATCGTAAGATCTTATTACAATACTGATTTCAGAAATAACTATTATAACAGGTGGCAGTCATTTAAAATTTATCAAAATGATTTTCATTCCTTTTTAATTTTCTACCATTTAACATAATCTTCCTGGTTATATTACAATGTGTTGTTGCTCAAAATATCTGATTGTAATTGCATATTTGAAATGTTACATTTCAGTTGGATATTGAAATGTCATTTGTTGATGTCGATAATATTATTGCGCTTGTGGAGGATGTTTTAAGACACAGTTGGCCTGAGGAGTTCAGGCCATTGCCTGTACCATTTCCAAAAATGACATATCAACAAGCTATTAAGCGATATGGGACAGATAAACCTGACACCCGTTTTCCTTTTGAGGTAGGATTGTGTTTTGTAACATTTTAATACAAAATATATATCTATATATGTTGTTAACAGATTGACGTTTTGAAAATAACCAATTTTTGGTATCAGGAGATCCCAAAACATGTATTTCCATTGAAATCTCCAAATCGATTTTCCGCAGCATTACATAACTTTCCCTATACTATGTATATTACTCCGTATATATGTATGTATACAGGAAATTAAAATGCGTGCTTATTGAAGAGGTGCAGATTTGATTTTTAGTAAAACCTGAATTTTTGAGAATTGCAAAAGTTAAACATTTTTTCAGAACCTTCTTACACTTGTTATTGAGGTTAAGACTTTCTTGTAATGAAATCGGCTCTTCAAATTAAGATCTTTAAGAAATGTGAGGAACAGAGTTTTTAAAATGGTTGTGTGGGTTTTGCAAAATTGTTAATGAAATAGTGACAATTTTAATACAAATATCTACACAAAATTAATCCAAAAATTGACACTAAATAAGTTTGAGTTTTGTTCAAACCTCTGGAATGTCAAAAATTGCTAAAATAATAATAATAATAATAATAATAATAATAATAATAATAATAATAATAACAACAACAACAATAACAATAATAATAAGTGTCACCCTCCTACAAGATTTTATTCCTACAATCCATTTTTAAAGATAGTGATTTCTTTCTTAATGCAACCTGTTCATCAATATTACATCTTTAATGCATTTCATGTATACTTCTTTCAAAATATTAGTAGTAATTTTCACGTAATTCTGTGTTATATACTAGTTTGCGTTTTGGGAAGGCATAGGTGTTAATGGGATGGCAGGTGCAAAATTATAATATTAACTAACCATTACCAATAATATGAGGAAGTATATGTTGTTGTAGCACCTCTAGCTTAAAAGTTGAAATAGTATTTGGAATCTTGTTGAGGTGGAGGGGGGAGGACAAGGATATTTAAGACAAATTCATGTTTGTTTATTGTTGTAGATCCAGGATGTGTCTGACATAGTTAAGAAAAATCCCGAAATTTTCTCCAAATATTTTGGAGAGAATTTTTGTGCTGCTTGTCTAATTTTCCCCCGTAAAAGTGTAAGTATAATTTACTCATAAAGCACTATGGCTTTGTTGCATTTTTTATTTTCAAAAATCAGTATCAATAGTTTAAGGAGTTTGATTTCAGATGTCCAAAACAATGATAACTAAATACAAGGAAGAAGGCAAAATTAATTATCCATTAGTACAACTTATGATTGTACAAAACCCATTAGCTGCAAATCTAAATAAAATTTTGACACCTGCGGGATCTGAAGCATTGCGTGACAAGTTAAAGTTTACTGATGATGTTTTGGTTCTTGGTGTGGGTTCATTTAGTGATGTGGTCAGTATGAAGTAAAATAAAAAGTATCCCATATCTTCTACAGCATTTTTTCCCTTTTGTCTAAGATGTATTTGTACTTACTATTTTGCAGCATCATTTACTAGGTCGTATTCGTGTTGAGCATGGGAAAGTGATGGAAGAAAAAGGGCTTATTTGCTTGCCTGCAGATCAATTTAATTTTTTATGGGTACACGACTTCCCCTTATTTGAACCAGGAGAACCAACTGGAAGTATTCAGTCATTACATCACCCGTTCACTCAACCACATCCTGAAGATATAGAATTGTTGCAGAGCAATCCTTTCAAAGTAAACTATAAAGTTTTAAGAAACCATTACAAAGAAAGTATAAACATATGGTAAAGTGAATTTCCATAGGTTCGTGGTCTGCACTATGACTTGGTACTTAATGGATGTGAAGTGGCTGGTGGGTCAATTCGTGTCCATGATCATGCTTGCCAGTTAACTATATTGGAAAAGTTGAAGATCAAACATGAAAGTCTAAAGCATCTTCTTGAAGCTCTTCAGAGTGGCTGTCCACCTCATGGAGGCATTGCTGTTGGTGAGAATTAGTGGAATTCATTTACAGATCATTGTATAATGCTTGGCACCAAGTTTGTGCATGGACAATGTCCGTGTTTTCTTTATTTGTTTTTTTAAAATGGATGTGCTGAGAGAGTTCTAAAGTTTGTCTGAACTTAAATAGTAAAGTGTGTTTATGTTAATAAATTCCCACAAATGAAAGGCTTTTAAAGAAACAACAATTAGCTGACACTAGCACACAGGCTTACAAACTTGCAAAATTCTGAGTTGACTGTATGTGATAGACATAGGGGGAATCTGGGTAGGTATCATTTTTTGTTTTACTGTTATTATACTTTTGGTTTCACCTTCTATTCAGCCTTTTTAAGATGCAGACAAACTGCATGACAGCCATTTTTCGTAATTTACCTGTATTAGTGTCCCTAAAGACAAGAACTGAGTCCAGCAATTTTCCAAGACATTGAGAAGGCAGGTAGGGCATTCAAAACAGATGCACCAGGGGTTGTTCAACTGTAGGCCCATGGTGCCATTTATTGTGTCTCGCGAAAGGTTATTCAAAAGTGAAAGTTCTTTTCATCCATGAAGGTTGAGAACATTGTGCGCCTAATGCATGCCCAAATGCCAACACCCCCTAAATGTAAAAATGGTTGAGATTTAAGGATTTTCTTCCCTGTATAAGTCCTGATCCCCCTTCCCTTTTTTCTAGTGAATTCAGAAAATTCAAAATTATCTCAGTGTATTTCACTGCGGGTATGCATGGTTCCATGCCCCCTACCCGAATCAGAGCAGTTGGGTCAAGTGCAGGGATTAACAATAGGGGGAAGTCAGGTGTGGGTTTGCACGAGTAATGAAAATATGGCCTGCAACTGTATTAAACATTTTGCTGTTGCCTTACAGATTGTTCGATGCAGAATCATTTGAGCTTGAGGCAGTCAATATTAACTGTGGACTTTGTCCACCAATGGATTTGCGCTGGCCTTGCATCAAGGAAGAGACTTTCTATGCAAAGTACCACTTAACGGCAGCTAACTGTAAAGCAGTTCTTGTCATTACAGACGCCCACACATAAAGTGCAAAAAAATGTCCGTCATATGGTTTGTCTGCATTTGAAGAGCTGAATAGGAGGTGAAACTGTTCCTAGTAACTTTGCTATTCCTCCACACATGGTGGGTCACTTGAGTTTGGCTTTAATGTTCACTACAGGTGAAATGACTCCTCCACATCGGAGGAATTTCCAAACTTGGCTGATGCCAGTCCAGTATTAGTCCTGTTGACATCTGGATAGGTGACAGAGAGTGAAGGGTAGTAAAACAGCACCCTCTTATTGTCCGAATAATATTTCTGAATATTGGACAGCTGGGGGTGCAGTAGAGCGATGTTGCCTCTTACTCGGGCAGCAGGCACATGGTTGTGAGGCATTCTTGCATCAGCAGCACTACATTAGCAACAGTAGCAAGAAACAAATCATGAGATCATACAATACTAGATGACACAACTGTACACACGGTGCATAACCAAAGAAGTAACAGCTGCATTAGTGCTTCGTGCTGTATTCAGTTGCTTTGAGCTGTAAGATTTAATTTTTTTCTCTAAACTCTGCCGTGACTTTGAATTTGAAGCCTCTGATTGGATAACGGAACCCCCTCACCCTTGCCAGTCACTAGCTGTCAAGTAGACAGAAATATTATTGAGACAATAGGGATAGTGTTTTTAACTTATGGTCTCGTCAGGTAGGCAATCAACCTATGGTGCTGTTGTGTAATAGTCCCAAAAGTATCAACAAACTTTTCATACGCATTGTTCAGTGAAAGAAAAAAGGAGGTTAACATTCTGAAATCATGTAGTGTAAATCTTTTCTATCCCTATGTACAAATATATCTGTTGATCTCTGTAAGATTAACGACAGTGCAGAAGTGATCAATGCCTTTGGCTTGTTCTAATAATCCAAACTTGCACCCATTCCTTGACATCGATATTTGGTGTTGTAAAAATATTTCTTTGAACTCTTCTAGTATTCAGTCATTACAATCTATTAAAACCATTTACATTCTTCTTATATTTCATGTGAATATAGTTATTGGATTTATGAAATTGAATTTCTGTTGTTGTTTCTTTTGTCTTTTATCTAATAGGCATTGATCGCTTGGTGTCTCTCTTGTGTGGGACTGCATCTATCAGAGATGTAATAGCCTTTCCAAAAGGAGTGGATGGAAAAGACCCTTTGTCAGGAGCACCAGCTGCAATATCAGAAGAGGAAAAGAAGTTATATCATATCAAGTGCACAGACTGGTAAATAATTTTTAGGAGCAGTTAATGATAGAGAAAAACCTGCCTACAGTGAAACCGCATGGAATTGGAAAACTTTTCCATTGAAGGCAAGTTCCCACTTAAGAAAGGAGTTCTAAAAGTATAAGTTGGGAACATGACATGTGATATTACATATATAATGGATTTTATTACAAAGATATGATAAAAAATATGATATCTATTCACACCAATTTTGTATATATGCAAATATTACAATCCTTTTGTTGTGTCAAGAGCTAGCAAGACCAATCTTTGAAGCCATAATGTCAATAAGTAGGCAAGTAAAGAAGTAGGTCTACAGACCTTTGTGAGTAAAGCTTCAGGAAACAAGGTGTGGTGTTTGTTGAATTTGCAGAAACACAGAGATAAAGTTGAAGATAACAGCTTTAAAGAAGCTGGTTATGTCAAGTCCCTAGTAAAACACCAGTTAAAGAAATTCATAAAGGAAGTGTATTTTCTTACTTTTCATATAATCTCTTGTCGTTTCTGAATAATGCACTCGGAGACTTTGGAAAATTTGTTTTTGGTTTAATTTCATTTTTATTGCCGTTTGGCAGATTCTGTTAAATCTAGGAAAATTAACATATTTTTCAGACCTGGTCTGGACCGGAATGTTTTCATGTTGAAGATAAAGTTTCCATTTAATCCAGGGTTCACAGGAGGCTGGTTACTAGATGTATTGTGTCAACTACTTCTTAAAAATCTGTTTTGCACTCAAAAAGGTTGTGAATATAATACAGACAGATAATAATACAATATTGATTTGAATCTTCAAAAAAACTAAAATAGTTGTCTTATTTAAATTCAAGTACATATTATAGAAACTGTTGCATCTTGTTGACTGCTAAGTGAGAGCATCTCACGTCTGACTACAACTAAAAAGTTTCATTGAGTCCACATGGTCTCATAATGCACATTTCCACAGCATTTTCTAACAAGAGTGAAATGGGTTTAATTTGGGAGTCAACATGATAAGACATGAGTGAAGATAATTAAGTTATTTCCACTCATTTTTTTGTAAATGCAGAAATGAAAATTTAAATGTGCTGAACTATGTCATAAAATATACATAACGCTTTTAATTTCAGATGTTTATAACAGTATTGCAGAATGACTATAGATGTCATAAGCATTAAGTCAGCAGCAATAAGCTAATGTCTTCACACAAAGCCCATGGTGTGTTTCTGAGAGACAAGAATTTCATGAATGTTGAGAAGTTTGGAAAATGTTCCTGTTCAATAAAATGCCCATCATGATTGTAAAATCTGTACTGCTTGTCGGGAACATGTGAATATGAGATTAAATTTCTTTGAAAATTAATTATGCCCTATTTCTTTTGTTATAAATTATATTTTCAATTTATCAATGTTTTCTCAAAATTACATTACAATAAACTTGTTTTGATTTTGAGTAAAAAGTATCCAGTATTGGCAGCTGAAAAATTGAATAAATTTTAACAGCTTGTACTCTTAATTTTGTTAAATTAACCTGGCCTGCTTTATTTTTAAAGTGAATAGTTGAGTTGGTGAAAACAAGATGGTGGGGGGGGAGGCTTCTTTTTTCTTATTTGGGGAGGTGAGAGTGTCTGTACCACTGTATATTTTAAGATCAGTGGTGACAGTAATTTTAATGAGATATCATTCTTGATTAGCTGCTCTCAGGTAAATGTAAGGTTATTATTGTATTTGGATGATTTCTTGTCCATGTGAATAAGTGTTACCTAGTGTGAGTTGCAATTCCGACAAAGTAAAATTTCATAATATAAAATAATTTTCGTTCTGGCATGAATTTCTAGATTTTTCTTTCTACTGCAAAACCATTCTTCAAAAATTAACATATCTTCAACATTTGCTGGCCTAGATGCAGCTTCACTGTTACCTATCAATCGTGCCAATAAAATCAATAATTTCCTTCATTATTTCTGTAGTGCATTAGTACATTAGTTTTGCTGTGGCTCTTCCACCCAATCTACATTAAAAAGAAAAAGTGGCAAACAAAAGAATTTCCCAGAGGTGGAAAATATCACTTTTACTTTATTTTAATAAATATTAAATAATGCATTTACATTAGGTAGGCACAAATGCATCCTGCATCACTTCCCATATACATAACAGTGTGTTTCTTGACATCAATCTTCCTGATGAAGTGGGTTGGACCATGCCCTGACAAAGGGATTTGGAGAAGGCTCTCATGTGATCCTATCTTGTGTTACATTCTCTCGCTTTTCATTAATCATCACACTATTCTTTTTCTGAATGTGGAACTTCCATGTGATTGCTGGGGTAATCTGTGTTGAAGGGAATGGGTGAACTGGGAGTAAAGGGGTTATGTATCTTGCATGCTGCTTTGATGCTGGAACCTGGGGGAGTGGACTACATCAGATACCGAGTTTTATGTGAACTCTGTCAAATCCCGGTGTCGGTGGGAATGTTTGTATATTGAGCCTCTTGTTGTGTGAATCTTTTTCTAACAAAATATATTTTGGGCAAAATTGTAACATTTACAAACATATATTGACAGGGTATAAATAAAGGGTAACTTTTCCTTGGAGAGTCACACTAGACGTACTACTAGAACAGAAGTAAAGGCAGTTTTTGGTTTGTTGTATCTTGCGGAATCATATTGGAGTGGAAGGTAGAATCTGAAGGACTAGTGAGCAACTGAAGGAACTGGAGTGGAAATGTTCAGAACAGTGATGTCCCTCTTCAGATTTAAATTTATTTTATGGTGTCTACAATTTGATGATAAAAAAAAAGGCAGGATAGAAAACTACAAAATAAACTTTCCAATTAGATAAGTATTCAAGAATTTTTTGAAAAATTTCAAGAATTCTTGCACTATATCCGAGTATGGTGCTGTCGAAAAACACAAACACAAACTTTTTAGAGGGTGTTTCGGTTTCGGGAAGCATATCCCCAATTAACCATCAAAGTACGGTATAAAAACCTTTGCCTTTGCAGATGCACAAACATTTTATACCAACAATATTGAGGCATATGTTGAGACACAGCCAGACAGGCTTTACAAAATAAGTAACAAACCGGAAGATGTGGTAAGACTGAACCAATCGTAGGTACAGGACATAACATTACTATAGATAACTGGCCCAGTAGCTACCATCTTTCAGAGAAACTGTTGAAGTTGCACAAGTTAACAATGGATAGAACAGGCACCCCGGTGTCATACATCCCCCCAAAAAAGTGTAATGTTCTTCTATCAACAATGCACAACATTGACAAAATTGATCAAACTATTAGTAATGCATGGAAACCAAAAATAATTATATTTTACAACCTCATGAAAGGAGGAGTAATGTTGTCGATAAAATGTGTGCTTCTTACAGCTGTTCCAAATGTACACATTGATGATGGAAGGTAGTGTTCTACAGCATGTTGACTATTGCTGCAATTAATATGTTTATTATATTCCTGCCCAACACACGCACAAATATGAAAAGATGACAGTTTATGAAAAAATTGTGTACTGAACTGATAATGGATCAATTGCAATACAGAGCTTTGCATCATGTCTTCCCAAAGGGGTCAAAAACAGAGTGAGAAAACTTATCAATACAACACCACCAAGAGAAAAAAAACAGTAGCTGGAAAGTTAGCCAAATTTGTTCAGTGCACCAAGGAGGGCGGAAAGAGACAGTATTACTGTGTGAAGTGTTACACCTTTTTGTGCATGGAGCATGCAAAAATGTATGTTAATGTATGTTAAAACTGCCTGGAAAATTGTGATTAAATATAAATATTGTAATCAGTATTCATTTTTGGAGAAATAACAAAATATTATTAACAAAAGTTACTCAATGCACATCATTTGCCATTCCTGTTGTTTCATTGTGTATTGATCCTTCGAAATAAAATAGAACAGAAAAATGAACTGGGTCTGATAGACCCAGTGTCACCGGTCGTGGTACAAAATAGGGTGTCACTATCGCAGAATTAAAAGACTTGCAGATGCATTCACTTCATTGACAATATTTCACGTTGATCTGTCAATTGCATTAAATTCGCGTGAGTTCCGTTTTATAAGATTTTAAAAAATATTTCTGCAGAACATGAAAAATCATTCTGGCTGTGTAAAATGCCATATCATTTCATGGGCCGGAGAAATTTTCTGGTAAAGACAGGTTTCTGGCTTGTACAGGTTCCCGTTTGGACAGATTTTATGCTTGATTTAGACATTTAGAAAATATATAGAAAGAAATTTAACAACTGAGGGATAGTTATTTAATGAAAAATCTTCAGATCTGTGCACAGATACGGCCACACTCGTTTGGACAATCCTTGGAAGATGAATATTTAAACGCTTCTAATATTCATGTACTTAGCTGTACCAGCTACAACTTAGTAACACAATAATTCAACAATGAAAAGGATATTGGGCAAAACACATTACTGGCTCAATACATCAATTTACTAAAACATTTTCTTGAGTTTTGTAGTGGAAAAAGTGTTGTCATAACGTATAGGTGAAGTCAGTCTTTCTGGAAGTCCAAAGCGTGTTAAGAGAAAAAGCAGTTACTTTTTATATGCCAAATAAAGAATTTTTTGGAAGTTTTATTTTTAAAAGATAAGACTTGAAAGGTTTTTCAATGAAAATTATAAAGGCTGTAAGACTAAATATGTTGGATTAAAAATAAAATTCAAGTAACTGATTTATTATGCACTAAGAAAAGCTATAATTCTTAGGATAAGTAGGTAGACAAGTTAATGAGCAATTGTATGTACCGCTAAGTGAAATTTGAGTTGCCCTTTTTTTTTCTTAGTTGTCTTCATAAAAGATAATCACAATGAAAAAAAGTAATTTTTTTTTTGCATGGTAACATCTCAATTTAAAGATCTCTCTCACTTGACCTCACAGCTTGTTCCATCTGCTCATCCTCACTTTCCAGTTCTATTATCACTACTTCCTTGGCTGCTATGCGTTTTCATACTCCCTCAGTTTCAACATTATCCCCATTTGATCACGAATCTGAACAAGGTTTTGAAGACTAGAGACAAAACAAATCAAGATTCATAATAAAAGCATTTTAATAAGATTGTAGAAAAAATATTTATATTTCAGAAGTGAGATGCATTCACTTGTTTTATTGCCTTGATCTCACCCCAAATTTCTGAATCTCAATCATTAAAAAACAATATCATACACACAACACACACAATATCAAAATAACTGTTATAGTTGTGCAATAATCTTTTTCTAACGAGGAGGTTCTAAAAAACAAATTTGACAAATGGAAAATGAATATATTACAATTTTTTGATACATTATGTTTATGCTTTGCATAATAATTATACGATTATGAAAAGTGGTGAAGTTTATCACAGTGGTAAAATATTATGAGGATGAATTGATATCAGATGATCTGGATAGACTTGTGGAAGAGAAAATGTCTGTTCCATTGGTTGGTGATGGGCTGGCTGATGTGAAATAACTTGACATTTTTGAGTATCATGTGGAGACAAAGTCTGCTCCAACTTCGTGGGTTCACTGCGAGAATACTGTTGTAACATTTCTAATGATGAAGCATTAGCAGGGTCCATACACGTTTCTGACAATTGAGAAGATACATCTGATAATTGAGTTTGTGCACTAACACCACTATTATCAAGTGAGTTTCTCCTGTCAGGATTATGTTGTGAATGTTGGTGCTGGAATAATTGTTCGTGCTGTTGCTCTTGACCTTCCTGTTGATGCTGATGGTGATGCTGCTCCTGAGACTGCGGCTGAGGCTGGGCTTGAGCAGCAGTCTGAGAGCTTGTGTTCTGCGCACTACTTCCTACATTCAGAAATTCTTTATGTCGCCGTCTAGTATGCTTCAACCAGTTTGGATAATTCGTAAATGTTCGTTCACAAAATTTACAAGCATATGGTCTTTCACCAGTGTGAATGTTGTAATGTTGCTGAAAAAATAATAAATTCATTCTCCAGCAAATAATCATGAGAGGCCATGAAATACTTGAAAATATATGAATGTCTGAATTAATTGCATTAATTTATATGATTTCATTTTTTTGTAATAAAATTTCAATATGTTCAATTTCAACATACAAGAAAAGATTAGCAGCAATGAGAAGGTTGAATATAATACAAAAAGAAAAATGTTATAATACTGCTTAATTAATATTTAATATTACAAAACATGTAACTTAATATTATAAGTACATTTACCTTCAGTTTGGTGCTACTTAAAAATCCTTTATTACAATATGTGCATACATAGGGACGAGCTTCTGAATGCACCATGGCATGAACTTTGAGACATCTTTCCGTTTTATAGGTTTTCAAACACACAGTACACTGAAATGGTCGTTTCTCACTGTGAAAGCTGTTATGTCTGTTTAAATGCGATTTCTCAGCAAATCTAGAACATGAATGATTAAAAGTAAGTAATTACAAAAACATTTCATTCAAATATTCTGAGAAATAATTTTCAAATGTCTACTTGCACCAACATTATTACTGATGCTTCTGTACACAATTTTGTTAATCAAATACACAGAAAAGCAACCAATTTATTTTCAGTAAGAGGTGGATGAAAATGGACAGTTGGGGAAACCATGATTGAGCAGGTTCGTTTTCTATTTTATCTTTTTCTAGTCCTTGAGTTTTTATTTTCTCGCTACCACTTTCTCTATAGAGAGAAAGTTCTGTAATGCTGCGGGAAAAACCGGAACATTTTTGGCAACGCTTGTTGCTGGACCCTGGTTATAAAAGAGTGGATAAATCCAGTTACTAAATTTTGAAGAAAAAAATTCTTTAACACGTGATGTATCCAGAATCCATATTTTGTGGGTCCTTGATACCAAAAAATCGATTCAAGGCAAAACATGTCTGTCTGTCCACAATGCTAGAGGCTAAATTGTTCAGCTAAATTGTTCAATTTCTCCAAAATTGATATTCCCCAATCATTCTGGCTGATGTTGCGGCCCTTGAAATTAAAACTGATATTTTAATTTTAGGGGTACTTGCTTGGGACATTTTCAAAAAAATGGTTCCAAAGTTTTAATTAAATTTTGTTTTTGGATAGTGCAGGACATTTAAAAGAATGGTGCAGGTCTCATGTTCATTGGAAAATGCTGACTTTGTGAATTGCAAAAGTTTTAAATTTTTTCAAAATCTTCCTAAAACTACAAACAGTATGATAAAGATTTTTACCTTAAAGAAATCTGTTCTTTAAAGATAGATTTTCAAATACAATAAGGTTGCAATGTTTTTGTTTACATTATTACCTATGGTTACAATAAGAACTTCGAAAGAAAAAATTTTCTTTAAACCACTTTGTGCTAAATTTTTTCATTCTTCCAAACTTCTATCAGTCATATTTATGTCTTTACTGTCTTGAAATATGTCTTTTTATAGAAGATTTTGTGTCTAGTAAAATAATTCTCAATGCCAATTTCATTCTTTAAAATAATGAAAACTAAAATATAAGTTAGCAGTAGTAGATACATTGGTTACAAGAGTGGGGTGTGATTCACCCCACCAGTCTAAACAGCAGTAGAATACTCATAGAGATTGTGTCAATATTCTTTTAAATTGCTAAACACCTATCTATTTTTAGCATATTATATATAGAGAGGATATTGGAAGTTGAAATGGAGTTCTATCTACGCTACTATTCCCTTTACATAACTTTCTTTTACTATGCGGTACAATGTTGTTTTCTCAAGGGAGGGAAAAGAGGAAAGCATCTCGATCAGGTTTTTGCCCAGTTTTCCTGATCCATTGAGAAAATGTTGAGATGGCCCCCTTGTTTTGCTTCTGGATGTAAATGTAGATTCACTACGTGCATGATCTGTTGAACTCCCCTTTTGCTTGTAATGAAAAGAGTAGAGGTAAGGGCAAGTTGCTATTTTGTTAGCAATGCACAAAAATCATACTTGCAATTTGTGTACCAATGTAAAAACGTTTTCAAATAACTCTGAAACAAAAATGACTATTTTTCAAATATTGTTAATCTTGCGATTTTTAGAATTTATTTTAATTTGTGTATGTTAAAATTTTACACATTTTTCAACTATTTATAGTTACAATGACGGGAAGGGAAACTGGAACTCAAGAAAATGTGCACAGATAATCTTCTCCCGCCTACATCACATACAGTTTTTTTGACTAAATAAACAAGCATTTCACTATTTCCTTTTTCTGAATATAATATTACCTTTTATGTTACAAAGGAAATTAACTTTCATCAAAGACAATCCACTAAATCACTCTGTAGGGGAATGTGGGCAATGCCCAGGATGTGTCCAAATGACTTGTAACTGGGCATGGTTTCACATTGTAGGCTGGCGGAAGCCTATGTGAACGAACTTAAAAATCTCCAATTTGTGCAGTATGACTAGCAGTAGTAATTTATGCAGTTGACTTTGTCTTTCCTTCTTAGTGAAACATTCACAGAGCTTGTGGCCTTGAGCCAGCGTGGAGCGCAGCTATCTGATATTTCCTTGTTTCTAAGAGGTTGTCTTGTTGATGAGGATGTACATTTGAGAGAAAGCTCTTGTATCTCTTAAATGTACATCCTCATAATGAACTCTTATCTATAATTTACAGAAATAGGAGTGTAATACAATAACTAAACTAGTGGTACTACAGAATGGCACAGGCTTCCTCATACTAGTTATTTCCCTTACTGCTTCATTCTGGGCTATCTTTTCGGTTTTGCCCTACCCTCTTCTCAACTACAATTGACACCTAAAATACATTTTTTCTCGCTTCAATTTTTTGCGTACCCAATAGTAAAAATTAACATGACATTAGAACAGAACATTACAGAAAGGTAAAAGCTGGTCATAAACGCACATATTCATGAAAACTTTCAAGACTTTTTTAAGCAAATGTGGTTTAAGCATATCTGAAAATGTGCATAAAAAAATCAGACCTTTCACATCTTTGGGTGTGTTTCACTCTATTTTCAAAAGAAAATAAATGAAAATTTGGGGCCATTTGAGAAACTTTTGAAAATGTCTGGGGGGCTTCATGTAAAGTACTCCCCGAAATTTAAAGAATTTTTCTCAAACCTGCAGAGCTTTAAGTTGAGCCAGATTGACCAGGGAATATTCATTTTGGAGAAAATCCTAGAAACAGTTTAGGTGCTAGTGTTGTTCACAAGCAGATAGAAGTTTTGAAATGGAAAAGAAAGAAACACTTTTTCAGTTTCAGGAACCCCATAACGAGTTATTCCGTTGAAATCAATTTTCCGCAGCATTACATAACATACTCTCATTACGAGTACTACTCTGTATAAATGTACATACATAAGAAAGTAATAACTAAACAGTACAGAAGGAACTTTTTTATCTATTCTTTAAAGATGTCTTCAAACAGGACATCAATTTTTTGTATTACCTTTTCAATTACTCTACCCACCCGAATTTGCCAACCCTAGCCTCCCAAGGTCTGCTTTCTTGCCCTTATGTGGCCGGTGAAAGGTAGACCAGGGGTGGAACCAGCTGATCATTTTGGAGGGGGTCATAGATTTTTGTTAAATAGTAAATATTTGTTATTATATTTTAAATTACTTTTGTAGTGTATATACGATACTCCACAATATTGATTTTTAAATAATTCTAACATAAATAAATATTTAAATCAATTTTGCTAAATAAAAGGAGGTAAAAAATGAAACCTCTAGGCCTTTTAGAAGAGGGAGGACGAAGGGGGGCATGCCCCCCCGCCCATTTTGCCATTGAGGCAGGCAGGCACTCACCGCTTGCCACAGCGGAGGCAGGCGAAGGGTCGCTCGCCTGTGTGCGCCTTGTGATGCTGCTGCAGGTTGGCCTTCTGGGTGAACGTCTTGCCGCACACATCGCACATGAAGCGCCGGCCCAGGCGGTGCACGTTCTCGTGCGCTGTCAGGCCCCCACGTGTGCGCAGGCTGTGGGCACAACACAGAGCACATCAAGGCCCTTTCACATGAACACACATAAAATAGTTAGTTAGTACACAATAATAAGTTTTCATTGCATAAAAACGTTTATACAATGAGAACTTAAACTATTTACTACAACAGAGATGAGTTCTCTAATGTGGCAGGACAGAGCGCTGCTAACTTTTTATTACAATGATGCAACACCATGTTTGTAGGCAGCTCAGGTCAAAAAATTGCCAATGATGATGGGACCTCATGAGAATTTAATGTTAGCACATATTATAGGCAGATCAGAACTTTTAAAAAAATTGTTAATTAAAAATTATTCACTGATCAAGAGTTGCAGCTCCTTGGGGTAGGCACTACCTACCCTGATGAATATGTACTAGCTTAATACATTTCATAAGAAGAATAAACAATTCTTACAATTTTAATATGGTGTAAGTACTATTCATCTGGAAATTTATAATGAACATTTCATTATCTAGGCGCAAGCCATATTTCCATTTCAAGCGCTTTCTAACATAAACCATTGCATACTGATTTGAATGAAAATGAATATTTTGGAATAGTCACCTGGATCTTTGCACAAGTTGACTTGAATAGTTAAAGTAGTAACTAAACAAATAAACAACTAGGTACCAATTTGATTATTGTTATATTGTGAATATAGCATGTGAGGTGTGTCTGTTTTTATTTTCAGTTTTTTTGGCAATATTAATAAAAAAAAGTAATTTTAGGAGTATAATGTGATAGCATATCAATGTTTTTTGATGGAAAAAGAAAGTGGATTGTTGTTACCAGCAGGTTAGACATGAAGCCTGACGCCGGGATACGTGCAAGAAACGTGTTGGTAGGATGTGTATTGTACAGGCAGGAGTGAGAGCAAGATGTGTATATGTAGAAGGGATATAAATCTGAAGTAAAATGGTGAGTCTAACAAGTAAGCAAAAATATAATTGTAGGCTAATATGTGTTTTTGTAAAATTAATTGAGCTTAGTTAAATATGAAAAACACTATGATGAATGCTGAATAAAAATAGAAACGCTGGCAGTTCAAATATTTTTTTTCCTTTTGATCTAAACTCATGAAAGTTCCTTGCAATTATTACAGAGGTTTCTTCACAACTATTTCAATATTTAGTTACTATCAAAGAGCAACAATGTTCCTTTACGACCTTCTACAACATTAAAATGGAAGTCTCATTATTGGTGCATTGGTGATATCTTCTTTTTATAATTGAAAATTTAAAATTCTTATTTACTGCATACTGAGAACAAGAGTATTTCACATGTACAAATACTCACATTTTGCCACATTCAGAGCAAGGGTATTCCTGTTTTTCGTCATTCTTGTGCTTCTTTAGATGAATATTTAAACCAGGTCTTGTGACAAAGCCTTTACCACATTCTTCACAAATAAATGGTTTGACAGAAGTGTGCTTAGCTAAGATATGAACATGAAGCATACTTCTCAAGCTGAACCCTTTCTGACAATATTCACACCTGCAACTCCAAACAAGAATTATAGCACAAATTCTGCAAAAGAAGCAGAACCTATTGAGAGAGAGAGAGAGACTCACACACACCTTTGGAATTTATACACAAAACTATACATTATGTTTTCTTCAACATAGTTTCATTGTCTTCTAGATTTTGCAACCTTCCTTTCTAATATTTAAGTACTTGTTTCCATCTCGTCTAATAAAATAACGTTTACCTAAATTTTTAAAAATTTTGCAAGAAAAAATATTACTATCAAATACTCAGAAACCAAAATTAAACAGAAACGTTGACGAAATATCCACCATCTCTTTGACAATAACACAAGTTCTCAGTAACAAAGGGCTAATTCTATTAATTTTTTCTCAAAAATAATTTATTCGTTTGATTGAGAATCTGTTTTACATTACTTTTATATCCTTATATATAATACTTTTGTATCCAAATTTTAAAACTAAAGTTAGAAAGGTTTTAACTAATTTTCATAGCAAAAAATGAAGTTAAAAAAAATTAAATTAAATTAAATTAAATTAATGAATACTACAGTTGTAAAAACATAATGAACTGATTATTTAAAAATGTGAGTTTTTTTTCTCATTAAATTAGAAATGTTCATTTTTGAAGCTTAAAAAATGCTCTGATATTTTTTTCTTAATGCTTTTTTAAAGAATTTTTGAAATAAAATAAATAAATTTTATGAATTATCCTACCAGTTGTTTTCTTGAACACTGAAAACTTTTTTATTTGGTTGTGAGTAAAGGGTATTCAAGGTGAGAGAGAGTAAAACAAGAGAATAAGCACGACACCTAAAATTTAATGTATTGTAAGATTATTAAGATCTAATCCAGGGTTCAAAGTTGCTAACAAGAAACTTTATGCAGCTTTACAACAGCATCATGAAAAGCAGTGCAGCAGCCATGCAAACAGGAAATCAAAACCTGCCAAGTCTTAGAAACACTTCATTGGAGATATTTCAAGTTTTTGAAATCATTATCCAGAGGGAAATGAATTGGCATTTGTCACAAAGTTCAAATTGATATAAAGTATTCTGATGACAATCTTTCTTTCAAAGCAGACTGAATCATTTTTACAACTCCAGCAGTAAAATTTTCTCATATCTAGTTCAGCATTGTACAAGGTCTATAACAGTCTGAGGATGCAAAATGTGAGAAATGCTCATTTTCTTTTTTGATGCATAAGGGTGGTCATTCTAAGTCTAAACCTCCAGGGCGGGCAGTCATTGCTAAATTCTCCATGAAATTGCTCAAAAGACTGAAGCAGAGGGCCAGGAACGAGATCAAGGACTCCTGCAAGGGAACTTCACTGTGTTAATCCACTCAGCCTTATGTTGTTTATTGTGAGCTACCATCTGATCCATAATAGGATGGCAATAGTCCCCTAACTACCCTACAGTTTTTTACATGGCACAGAGAAACTCACTGGCGAAAATGTATTAACTTTAAAGAATTTTACGTCATTGTTCCAATCTGATCGATAAACTCTGTACATAAATTAGGACTCGTTACTTTTGGGTCATACTTTGTAATACTTTAATTTAAAATCAGGATTTTAATTACATATTTGTAATTTAGCCTGTCAAGATGGCCGAGATAATTAGGGCAGTAGAGCCATAGCAATCTCAGACCAGAACACCGCGGGTTCGAGTCCTGCCTCAGGAATCGGTGTATTTGTGTAGGTCTATGTGAGTGTGCCGCTGCCGCCGCCACCACCACCACCACCATCATCTCCTCATTATCCATACCCCCAGGGCTAACAACCTTGGGGAATAAAAATCAGAATTCAGCTAAAATGCTGAAGCAGGATGCGTACACGTCCGAGTTGGCCTATAAACGGCAATATTTTTTCATAATTATTAGTAGAAGACTACTTTGAACTTTTAGTTCAATTTTAAATGGCGAATTGGATTTAGTAGATCTGGATTTTCCAAGAGAGGGTCAAAATTGTCCCCAATATTCTTCTATTGAAGGTGAAGAGTTTTACGCAGCACAAAGCAATACAGGGACAAAAGCCAGTTTTAAATTTGAATATTTAAAACAAAGCTTTATAACTTGCTGTTTTGTGAATGGTCAATTGTATGACAGGTCTGTGGAATCGGTTATCAGGATTTTGGATTTCACCAACACAAAATTGTTCAGTCTATTATAGTACAAGAAATAAATTGATTGTTCAGTGGCTAATATTATATGTATTAATATGTATATATTAATTATATATTTTTATACATCAGAATTATATAAATATACCCATTTTTTAATGCAACTAAAAGGTTTGATTTATTATTAACATTATTTTCTCTATTTTTTATCTTTGTATTAAACTTTTAGTCCATATTTTATTACGTATTTTGAAAATTTGAACATATATATGTACATATTTTAGGTACAAATAATTCAATATACATCCCAACCCTGATTATATAACATAATAAATATCAAATAAAAGTTTCTGAAAACAAGTGCAAAACACTTCAAGGTGTTATTTTCCTTTAAAATATTTACCTGTATCTTCCTTCTGTAACATGTCTGTAGCAATGAGATCGAAATGTTGAATACTTTTCCATAGATTTATTACAATATGAGCATGTGTATATGGGTATCTTATCATAAGAACCTCGATAATGCTTATCAAATTGTGATCGATATGGAAAGACTTCATCACATTCATTACACTTTATCCCCCAATGTGTCTTCCATTCTTCTTTTGTACTTTCATCAACATCCTTCTCACCTCCCTCTTCCCCTTCTTCATCATCGTCATCGTCTTCCTCTTCTTCTTCCTCGCCAGTTCTAAATTTCATCTCTAAAGTAAAAATATTTTCCATTAGTAATAAATAAAAAGATTCCCAAATATGTTTCAAAAACAGTATAATACTTTCTACCTGATTCAATCAGATCATCATTTGTCGTTCCATCCAATTTGTAGGGCTGAAATTCATTATGCGATTCCGAATCGTTTATTATATTCATTTCTTCTACATTTTCTTCAATTTCGTATTCATCTGCTATTTCTTCCTCCTCAACTTCCCACCTCTCTTTTACATCTTCATCGGATTCTCTCTTCTCTTGTTCATTAGCATCAGTATTTTCAGCATCATCAGATACGAGGCATTGAGAAGGTGAAGGAAATGAACACATGGCATTTTTGTTGGTTTCCAGCTCACTACTTTGCAAATCAGAATCTGTTTTTTGATGCTGTTTTTTAAGTTTACTTGCATATCTATTTGAACACTCATCTCTTCTAGCATTTTCTGTCTTTACTTGGTTCTTAGAAACAGTGGAGGATTGTACACCTATACAGCACATAATATTAAAAATAGTTTAAAATTAATTTAAGCTATTTAAAATTACAAAACTATTACAGGTGTCAAGAAATAAACAAATCAATGGATTTATTTATGAAATAACAGAGGTAATAATTTCAAACTTAGTTCATCAAATGTGATTTAGGTTTTGAAGTGGCTTAAAGGACCTTGCTTTAGTCACACAGAACTTTTACAAAAAATGCAATACAGAAAACTTTTGTAAAAGATTTGATCCTTACAAAGAAAAGTCTGATGAAAAATCAAATGAATTTTATAAGGTTGATAATGAAGACTTCTCCAATTCACTCACAAGGGTGAAATAGCGCAGTAAATTACCACCAAACACTCAAAAACTTGCGACTTTCAATGGAGACCACTAACAAAGAAAATTAGAGAGGTAGATGAAGAAATATACAAAGTACTCAAGATAAAAATGCATATTTCATAAATTTTAATAAATGTTTAATTAAATCTGCATCACAATTTATTTGCGTCTACTCAGTAAAAAACACCCAAATTAAAAATCTGACTTATTTACTTTAAACAATAAAACTTAATCATTTTCACATTAACACACTAAAAGAAATATTTCTACAAAATAATAATAATAATAATAATAATAATAATAATTTTCCAAAATGAAACCTTTTACATGTGGGTTCTACATTAAAGTTGCGGGTTTAATGAAGTTAAAGTAAAGTAGGTGGACACAAAAAAATTTGTATCAATAATAAATGAAACAAAATTTAAGTTCATTCTTTAAAAAACATTCATTTGCATTCATTGAGTCATTTTACTTATTCCTAATCAATATTGTAACATTGTTAATTTATCACGGCTTTATCCCACATTCACAATCTTAGCAAATGAACAAATGCACTGAATATTTTACTGAATGAGAAGTACCCTAACAGATTACCAGTTTTAAATATTTTTGATGACAGACTCTGAGAGGCATTCTAAAATTACTACCTACAACGTGTCATGACACTTGAGGAGAGGAGGTCCAATATTTAGCAAAAATTAGAATGACATCTTTGAAATAATAAAAAAGTAGTATGATGATGTCTTTCAGCATATTTCAAACAATGCAGTACACAGAGATGCAATAACTGCTTACATATTGTTGGGATTACCTGCAATATTATAATTTTCACGAGGGAGATTAATCTTCGATTCATTTTTTCTTTCAGAAGCAGTCTCAATTGTTACATCCAATGGAAGATCATTTATTTCATCTTTTATATCAAGTTCCTCTAATTTCACATCAATATTTTGTTCAATAATCTGTAAACATCCTAAATATTATAATATACCTGAATCTAGGTTAATAAATAAACCAAACATTAAATCAATTATCACTCATAAGATAACAATTTTCTTACACGACTCTTTTGTACTAAAAGTTCCAAAGTACGCTGTACTTCATTTGCTTGAACAGCAAAACGATGTGATTCTTCTAAACGTGTTTGACATGGGCAACAAACTTTTTTGGGAAGCACATCTTCCTTTGAAATCTACAATACAAATCATTATAACAAGTAATCAACACTCAGTTCTGTTAGAATTACAAATAGCAAGCAATTTTACAGTGAAGTTAGATAAAAATATAGCTCTGACACTATTAAGTCATAATAATTTCTTAATTCAACATAGGTGTTCTTGCACTTTAGTATGAATTAAATACTTGAAAAAATTGACAACACAATCTGTAACATGATCTTGAATGACTTCCGAAAGATCACAAACAAAAAATGCATTAACTATGTAATACAATATTATCTTTATAATAACCAAATTTGAGAAAACATGCCAATAATTATTCACACCTCAATTCTGAGGCATTGAAGGATTTTCTCTTCCAGACACAGATGAAGTCCTTCGGAACTGTAAATCACAACACCACTTATCGTTTCACCGGCACAAAGCCGGCAAAAGTCATTCACGTTCCTCTCAATAATTGTAGCCATCGTTTTAATGAAATCAGATCACATCAGTTCAGATCCCTACCAAATAATACTGCGTCCGGCGCGAGTGCCGACTAACCAATTACCATCTGACTGCATTTGACATTCCGACCATATTACGACTATTAGAATGGCCTGTATCGATATGATAGGGAGTTTATGCACCCTCGAATGTTAAAGCACTATCGATCTTTTGCGCATGCGCAGTTTCGCTGCATCTGCGCAGGCGCAGATCGATAGTGCTGTCCGCTGTGGCATGCTCAAACTCCCTGAGGTTAGAGATTAGGGAGTTTGTACCAGCCTATTGTCAGCACTATCGATCTTCTGCGCATGCGCACATGCACTGAAATGGTGCGAAATTTGGACTGCGTTTGAGCAAGAAGATCGATAGTGCTTTAACGTTCGAGGTGGCACAAACTCCCTTTTAGGGACTAAAACTCCATATTAAGGAGTTTGGACAACCGACAAGCACACAGTAATCTTGAACTGCGCATGCGAAGGGAGTTTTTGCACCCTCGAACGATAAAGCACTATCGATCTTCTGCGCATGCACAGTTTAAGTTTCGCTCTATTACCAGTATGTCATATGTCACGCCTCGTCGCAGTCAGTTGTCAAGGTGGCCGCCAGGTAGCATCTCCATGTACGCGCTGGTACGCGCTTCCTACTACGCGCTCTGCGTCACTACCCAGCGGCCAGAATCGGGAAGGAATTAGGATAGGGGTAGGGTTTAGGACAATTCACTGGGGTTGGACTAGCCTTTGTGAAGCAGCCAAACTCCTTTTGTTGGAACAAATTTCACATGAAACTCGAACCTTCTTGGTGAAAGGCTAGCGACTTCGCTCCTGGGCCACGAGATGTATGTAGTTTGTACACTCTCGAACGTTAAAGCACAATCGATCTTCTGCGCATATGCAGTTCAAGTTTCGCCTCACTTCAGTGCACCTGCGCATGCAGGTCCTAGTTTTTCCATGCTTTAGCGGAAAGCGATCAACTGCAATCTCGATGTTCTGCTCATGCGCAGATGCACAAGTAGGGAGTTTTTGCACGCCATATGGGACAGCACTATCGATCTTCGGCGCATGCATAGATGCGCAAAAGTGATTCGGAACTTGAACTGAGCATGCGGAGAAGATCGATACTGCTTTAAGAGACAGACTCCTTAAAAAACACGTTGCGTCTTTATAGACGGAAGCGACTCCTAACTCCTTAAAGGAATGTTGAGCGCACTGTGGAGTAGTCCTCCGTTATTAATCACCCAGGACCCTCTAGGGGCTGCTGGGTAGTCAAGTCACGTCAGTCGCAGTCAAATCAGGGAATTTGGACCTAGTTTTCACAGAAAACGGTTGAGATTCCCGGAGAAATTTTTATATTAAATTAGTTAAAGATACAATGTACTCATAAAATACAATAAATGTGAAAAATTGGCTGCTGCAGTTTAAATACTTAACAATGAGAAACAACAATTTTTGTATTTTTTTGAAGAAAAAAAAGAGAATAGAGGCAATATGGGCATTTATGCTTACATGGCATACGCATCGATATTATCTTATAGAGTACATTTAGCACTATTCCTGCCAAAAGTTTAAAGAAAAAAAATTGGAGTCGTTTTTAAGAAATTCTTGTTTTTGTATTTTTTTAAAATCGCACATATTGCACGCAATACTGAACGACAACTACTAAAATTTACAAACAAATGTACGACACATTAATGAAGGAACTCACTATGGGGAAAAATTTTGTTTGAAGAAAAAAAATCTCAATCTTTAATTTTGTAGTTGTAGAAAGTAACCGAAAATAACTCATACTTTTGAAATTTAAAAAAAATCAGAGTTAACCGTGAATATCGAACCTACGCCACGTTTATAAGTGTATGTTACTCTATTTTTACAAGAAATTGGAAGAAAAAATTTGGAACAATTGTTGAGAAAATTTTGAAAATGTCCGGAGAGCTTCATATATAGTAACCCCAAATTTTGAACAATGTTTTTCTAAATCTCAAAGTTTCGACTCGAGCCAGATGGATAGGGGTTTCTTCAATTAAGAAAAAATCCTATTCATAGTTGAGGCGCTAATAGACCACAGACACCAGACGGGCGGACGGACGGACGTTTTGAAACTATTTATGCTACAGAATGGCGCACTTTCCCGTATTAGTTTATTTCCATTGGTCTCGGTTAGCTATTCAGACTTACTCTTGCTAGCTGCCATCTATCGCCTCCCAACGTATATTTTGTGAAACTTCCTTAATTTTTCGGCTTTATATAGTAGATTCGAATTATTACTTTAAAAATATTAAAGAACAGTAAAACCTTGTCCCAAATGGCAATTTTCTTTAAAAAATTTGGAGCCTTTTTTTAAGAAAATGACATTTAAGCGCTATTCTAAATTCGAACCTCTTCACAGAAAACTATAGTTTTCAAAAAGCTTCATATGACGTAATTTCAAGAACTTACAGTCAAAATTGCAATAGTGTTTACAAATTGCTGGAAATGTTCATATTAAAGGCGTGAGAGATCTTTCAAAAAATTACACTTGTGTAATTTTTGAAAAAAACAAAAAACAAGCAAAATTAATTCTATGTCATCTTTAACAGTGCAATTAGCCCTATCTGTTGGAAAAGTTTGAAGGAAAAATTTGGAGCAGTTATAGAGAAAATGGTGTTTGAGCTTTTCTGCAAATAGGGAATTTTGAGCTCCTTTTCACCAAAAACTGTTGAGTTTTCGGAAAACTTTATCTCACATTATTTAATGCACATGTACTCATAAGATTAATGTAAAGAAATTGTTGCTAATGTAAACATTAATGACGTGAGAGACGAGTAAAAAAATAAATTTTTGTAATAAAAGAATAGAGCTATATGGCGTTTATGCCATCTTATAGAGCGCATTAAGCACAATCCATACCAAAAGTTTAAAGAAAAAATGGAGCCGTTTTTGAGAAAATCTTGTTTTTGAATTTTTTTAAAAATATGCACGCATTACTCGCTATATTGCGCGAAAACTACTAAAATTTTCAAGAAAATATACATGATTGGGGAATATCGATTTTGGATAAAATCGGCTGAACGCTTTAGGGGCTAGCATTGATCACAGATTGACGAACAGACACGTTTTGCCGTCAATCAATTTGTGTGTATCAAGGACCACTAAACATGGATTCTGACTACCCAACTTGTTAGAGGAAGTAATTTACTATGTAGAGGAACAAGATTTATGGACTTTTTCGTTACCAATGTCCGGCAGTAAGTGTGGAAAATACGCCGTGTCCCGATTATAACCCTTTCTCTTCTTACGTACGTAAGATAAAAAATGAAAATGGAGCCGTTTTTAAAACGAAATCGAAAATATGCCAGGGGGTAAATGTGAAGTAACCTCAAAATTTAAAGAATTCTTTTTAAAACCACAGGACTTCAGGTTGAATCAGAACGATCAGGGAATATTCATTTTGGCAAAAATACTAGGAATTGTTGAGGTGTTAGTTTTGTTCTCAGGTGGACAGACACTCAGAGAGACGGAGACACGGATCAAGAAGCCCAAAAGAGTTTTTCTTTCGAAAAACGGCACTTTTTTGCTGCAGTATTACACAATTTTCTTCTTTAATAGTCTATTACTTCGTATATACGTATGTAAATGAGAAAGTAAAGATTAATAAAGGCTACATATTCTTTGTTTCCATTCCTGCATTTCTCTGTTAATTGATTGATTGATTGATTTATTGGTTGATTGATTTATTAGTCGATTGATTTATTGGTTGATTGATTGATGTTTCCGGGCGCACCGATTGCTATGGACATAGCCCCCAAGAATTCCGCCCTCTCCTATTAGGAAGTTTGCGGTAATCCATCCCCACTAGATGCTGAGATTCTGTTACGACCTACACTATGCTCGCGGGGTGTTTACTCCTTCAAGTTTCTCAGGAAGGCCCCGCCCCAGCCGTGACAAGCTCTAACTTAGAAGTGGCCATAGCCCCTCCACCAGTTGGCATGGAGGGGCTTGTGGGTTATCTCAGTGCTGATTTAGTAAGAACGTGCCGAAAATACGGGCCCGCTACTTCGGTGACAGTGAGGTAAGTGCCACAGTGGTTCCGCCTGCAGGTTAAAGGCTTCCACAGACCGGCGCGGGAGATCCGCAGCGGGTGCGGCGCGGAAAGTTTCGCGCAGGACGCGGCGACGAAATCCTCGGGACCGTTCATTCTGGAGCGTCAATTGCGACTCAGCGTTTTGTGACAGTTTTCCTCATCCGATAAACAAAACGCGCTCGCTTCTAATCATGCACGGGATAGAAAATGCCTCGTAGTACGTTTTTTGAGCACATGTGGTACGTTGCATTTACCTTCTTTATCTAAGTTTTTCCATCAAATTGTTAATATATCTTCAGGAAACGAAGGAAAGGGGTTGATAATTTTGACATAGAAAGGAAAAAAGTTCGGAAAATGTCATACCGTGATGTCACAAAGGACTAGAAACGTTTTTATATTTACGAGAATTACCAGTGACCGTTAAAGACATTACTGATATTACAAACGTAAAATTTTGACGACAAAAAATTAAAATATTGAAGTTTAAAGTTACTTAAAATCAATTAAATTACTGAACACGATTAGAAGAATTTTTCTGACCGTTCAGTCGTGTTAGATTCATTGGTGAGCTGAAAAATATTCGGAACCTGACGAGTCTTTGCCTTGGTTTTCACAGCGAAACTCGAGCGGCAGAGTTCTGCGCGAAGGCAAGGGAGCACGACCCAGAGGGGAGCGAATAATCCCGAAGGAGGGCGGACTTCCACGAAACTCGAGCGGCAGCGGAAAAAACGCATCCGCCGCAGATTAAACGCTGCCAACTCGCTGCTGCGACGCTCGCCTGCCGCGCAGTCTTCAACGTGTCCATAAGTAGAGGCCGGAAAAATATGTAGAATGAAACGTCAAAACATGCACATCAATATGTAATGAAAACAGTAAGGATATGTAATAAATATGTAAAATCGAATGTAATATGTAATATTAAAATACACTAATTATAAAATGAATACTGGGAGAGATGGCTCAGGGAATCAACTGATGTCACTGCACTCCCTGTTGACCGGGAGGTCCTAGACTGGCAGAATTTGCGACTCTAGCTTGTCATCTAGGTCGAGTTCAGTCGCTGTCTGGAGGAGAATTCTAGCGGCCGGCTGCTCTGATCAGTAGTTTTCCGTGGTTTCTCCAATCAACACCAGGCGAGTGCTGGAGCAGTACCGTAACAAACGGGCCATGAACCGTGCGCGATCTTTCCTACCTCTTCCTTATCCTATCATCACCTCGTACACATGAACTACACTACTACACATGCCGGGAGACCGAGAGCTTGTCCCGGCTGGGGCGGTATCTCGATGGTGGGAGATTCGAGGTTGGGGAAATCCCCACTAGCCGACGGTAGGTCGGATTCGGATCTCGCCAACCATCGGGGGAAGACCACCGCCACCTGAGTAAAACCATGCCCTACACTTACGGGAATAATGACCGTAGTAGTTGATGCGCCCGTAATCACTATCAATCATAAAACGAACATTTACATAATACACAATTACATTTATAAAAAAAATCCTAATTTTTTAAAAAATAATACAAACATTTTAAAACTAATTTTGTTGGTCACAAATTGATGTACACTTTACCCCATACAACATTCACGGCTGTATTAAAAGCTTTATCTATTGATATTCATTCAGGATCGAAGTTTATTAGCCGGACTGTTATAGTCGCAATAGAAGCTATCGAACAAACCAGCGATATCTACCAGCAAATAGTAGGAAGTGTGTGCACTCTCAAACGTTCATATACCGTCGATTTCCTGCGCATGCGCAGTTTCGCATCACTTTAGTGCATCTGCGCATGCGCAGAAGATCGATAGTGTTATTCGCTACAGCGTGCACAAGCTCCCTTATCACTGCAACATGCAGCACACTCATCGAAGTGCGACACGTCGGCACAAATTAAGACAATTTTGGAAATTGGGGTTAAAGGTCGCGAAATGCGGCAGTTATTCTTTTCGCACCTAAAGGTGAAAATTATTTCAGTGACTGATGCAAACTTCCAGCCGCAATAACTGAAGCAAGGGCGCCTGATTGAGAACATCCGACCGCGTCTTCATGTAGTGTTCGTCGAGTAGAACGCGCGCAGTAATTATGTAAGAGCTGATTATTTTGAAAATTCCTTTTCATAAAGCAATGTAATAACATTGGAGAAAAAAATCCGTGTTGTGGTGGTTTGTAAAGCAGCTGTGCACTACGTGTTTTTCACTTGGTACACTGCTCCTGCCCATACTGTACAGTAGTTCACTTCTCTTGTACATTTAGTTTGAAACCTTTTGTACTCGTAAAGAACACAACGTGAACACTTCTACATCCAGTACACATCCTCTTCTCCTCTATTGAAGCTCTTGCCTGATACTCAAAATACATTTCATCGTCGCACACATTTTATTATACATTCGTACATTTAAGGGCTGTTAAAATTTCGCCCAGACTGCACACGTTGTTTACAAATTAATTTCAAACACTTAATAATTTCTTACGTACGTTACGTGACGTTACTTTATGAAGTAGTGCATGTGTGAGACACGCAACGAGATCCGGGAATCAAGCATCGATATCCGGGAACGCGTATGTTTTATTTAAAGTATAGTGAGAAGTATTATGATAAAAGTGAATGTTTATATCGTGATGACATTATTGTTGGAATTATCTGAAATGAGGCCGCAAAGAAAGCTTGGTTAGTAGCCATGAGTTCGCATCCTTTTAGAAGATTGCAATAGTCGAGAAAGTAAAAACAATCATGGTTACTATAAGCAAATTTAGCCACTCTTTTCTGTCCCCCCTCTCTCTCTCTCTTTCCGCTTCTCCCTCTCTGCCTCTCTCTACCTCTTCCTCCCCTTGTTATCATGACCAGCTGAACGGTAGAGTGGTATAAGTCCGAAATCGCGATTTTACCTTTTTTTCATATTTGAATAATTATGGGTGCAATACGTCCTCAGGCAAGGTGACGTAACTTTCGAAGTGGCCGCTTAACAGCATCTCTGCTTAGAGAGCCGAAACGAAATCGTCGGATGTGCTGCGCGACACAATGGTGTAAGACAGTGTTCCTGCTGAGAGCACGTGCCGTTGGCATGTGTTTATTTGATTGCTGCTCGTTGAGCAGTGCGTCTTGTGAACAAGGAATATTACGTGTACATAGATAAAACTTACGCCGGTAATATTCTTTGTAATGCTTGTCGGCAGCTAGGTTGATGATGCTGCGCAAGATACTGAACCAGACGTTATTGTCAAAGAAGACAAATAAAAAGAGGAAATAATGATTCAAGTGATAATGATAAAGTGATTCATTTAGTCCACAAAGTGCCTAGAAAAATTTGAAATCACACTCATATGTATTTCTACTTAACAGTTTTTAAGGTTTTGACATAAAAATGTAATTTAGAACTTGTTTAATATACAAAAGATTAACATGTATAGAATGTGTACTCTTATTTGCGTTATTTTTGGCAACGTGATTTTTGATGAGATGAAACACAAAATACGCTTTACTGTAAAATTGAGGGTAAATGACTTCTGCGATGAGCTCTTTGATTTGCCAATTTTCTCTTGTAAACATGTCAGGTTCGTTTTTTATTTTCTATAGTTGATACAACCATCTGTAAAATGTCTTACTACCAATGAAAGTTTAGATTTAATTTACTTTCGTTTATTGATATCGTTAATATGCACTCTAAATATATTCATACAATTATTCATGAATTCATTTATGAATTGACGAGTTTGCTAATACGTTTATTGTGGGGCACCAATTGGAAAACATTTGAAAATCTGTTTCTATATAATCAGTTGACACATCTGACGATTTAATATTTTTATAGAAAAGCATTTTCATTTTGTTTTTATGTATGTGACAAAGTTTATAAGTCGGATTTTAAAACGCTATATATTATCCAATAATTATGTATTTGTTATATTACCACTAAAGTCCTCTTGAAATATGAGCAAAATGTTTCTATTTCGCGAATTGCGTAGATTTGAGTTAAATATTAAAAAAAGAAAAAAAATACAACAGAGTAAAATATAATACTTTGATAAGATATAAAAAAAGTGTTTCATAAAAAACGTTCATATTTAGTGTAAAACATTTTAAAACGGACATTTTTGATTCAAAGTTTGCAAATTTAAATTATTAAGTTCGAGCAATAAGTAATTTAACATGGAATTTGTCAACTTTGAGGAAGAATAAAATTAGAAATATAGATAATTAGAATCTGGTGGCAAACAGAAGCGGATCCAGCCGATCATTTGGGGGGGGGGGCGTCGTATATTCTTGTTAAATAATATACTTATTTGTTATTATATTGTATATTATTTATGTAATGTAAGTATGATACTGTACAATATTATTGTTTTAATAATTACAAATTCAAGCATAAATAAATATTTAAATACATTTTGCCAAATAAAGGAAGGTAAAGTAAACATCTAGGTCTTTTGGGGGGCATGGCCCCCATGGTCCCTCCTCCTGGATCCGCCAGTGGTGGCAAATGTACAATGCAATTAACTAAAAAAAAACAACAACAAACACTTGTTAACATACGTCTGCGCTGTATTAGTGCAATTTTAATATAGACATGAATTAGTTTTGATGTATTTTCAATTAAATGTAGACATTTTTTTTGCGTTTATTATTTGATTGCAGTGTTCACTAGTCCGCGAATTCAAATTATTTGCGCTAAGTGATGTATACATTTCTGCCACTTCGTCTACCTCAAAGATCGCTGGCATCGACTTTCGATCTCTTTATTCCATGCATTGAGTTTAATTTCATAAGTGTACTTGCATATCAATGGTTATAAGGGGTTAAATTAATTTTTTGAAATTATTGTTTAATGAATTGATATGCCCTAGTTGTCTATTAGAACTGGTGGTGTTAGACGTGCTTCCTGGCCCCGATTTCGTGTGACGTCTTGCGCTGGTGGTGTAGTGAGGTGTAGTGTCATGCAAGTAGGGTACGGATGAGATTTTTCCTACCATATCCACTGTAATTCTCTGAATTGATTGTTTTTGATCCTTGCATCTGATTCAACAAATTTCTCGTTATGGATATCAAGATTTCCGAATTATTTGTGTATCCAATGTGGATATCTTAAAAGAGTGCGTTGTTGTTTATGGTTAAGTTTTCGTCAATATTTATTTCTTAATTGCCTCCACTGGCATCGAGAACAACTTACAGCGAAATTTTTTTCATTTTAATGAATAGCCTGAAGTTGACAAAATTGTAGCAGTGTGAAGTTTACACGCTAGGGTATAACATCATTTGGCAAATGAATGACAGGACAAAGAGTGTTGTATCTATTTCATTTTTTCTTGACATTCCATATGATATTTAAACTGCTATTAATTTTTAAGTTATTTTTAAATTTAAGAAAAAAACATTCAATCTTCATTTCTTTTTTTTAGAGCTTTTGGTCTAAAATGAATGTTAAAATACATGATTTGTTTGTTGTGAATGAAAGGATGATTTAAGTCAGTTTTCAACATGCATTACTTTTGTTTCAGGTGTTGAATATAATTGATTTGAATGGATCAAGATACTTCAGAAATCAATGCTTGCTCCTCTTCAACAAGTAGTGACACGTCTCTTGAGCCAGTACACCTGAGCATATTGACTGATCCTATTCCTTTAGATGAATCATTTGATAACATAGATGAAAATGCGTTGAGTGGAGGGTCTGTTAGATTACAGTCAATAGAATCAGAGAGTGAGCAAGAAATAGAAATGGGAATTGAAAATACTTGGTAAGTTGTCACTTATTTTTTTAATGCAAAAAAGGACAATTTGAACTTGTTAACTTTCATATTAAGATGATGGTTTCTAATTTGAAAAAGATTCGTACTAAATCAACATTGTTGTTTTGATATCTTGGGTAAAAATACATTTTATATTAATTTTTACCTCAAAGTAGTTTATTTTTCTCCACTGTCGTTATATCATTAGGCTTTTTTACTTTTGGAAATAACATGCATGTGACATGCATTATTAAATGGCAGATTGAAGAAACTCAGAAATAAATTTAAGGACATTCTTCCAGTGAGGAAGTAAAAAATTCATTTATTGGATTTTCTTGTGCTGTGTGATTTTGTGAAATTTTTATAACATTAAAAATTAAGAAAAATAAAATCTTGAACTAAGTGAATAATAATGAACATGTGTGTTTTAAATTTCTTTCCATGAAAGTTAAATATGCATGAAAATGCTATTTATAGAGGAAATTCACTGATCATGATTTTTAAGTGGTTTATTTCGAGAGGTGTGTATTGTGTATTCATTAATATAAGTCAAATTTTCTTGAAAGAGAATGAATTTGAGTAAATTACTGCAACTTTCTTTTCAGATTCTTTGTGCTTTTGCCAGTTGATTTGAGAAAAAAGTGAAATGTTATTTTATTCTTAATGTAGTGTTGCAGTATTATTGACTTATCATAAGTAGAGTGCTGTGTTGTACATATCACATCCTGTGTCACATTTTGAATAATTTGTTTTGCTTAAATTTTATTTCTTTTCTCCTTCAATATCATTTCTATCATCAGTATTAACACTAGAATTACTTCTATTATCTGCAAAAATTCTCCAGTGTTTTAGTTAAAAATGTAATGTGTCTGTACAATTTAACTGTTCAGTTTGGAAAGCACAGTTTTCTATGAATAATGTAATTTTATTTTGGATTCCAGCTCCTGATGTGTTGTTGCTGGAACATGTAATCAATGTTCTGTCTAATTGCATTTTTACTTGGTAGCTGGCAATGGTCTTCATTTAATTTAATATTTCTCTTTTGAGAAAAAAGCCAATTCAGAAGACTTCAATGAATTATTGTCACATCAACAATGTTTTTTTAAATTATATTTTTATAAGAATGTCTCTAAGGTGTTTGTTGTTTTTTAAACATCATATATGATGATGATGATGATGATGATGATGATGATGATGATGATACAGATGCATTATGAATTTTGTATCTGGTGTGACTTTGTTTATCTACCCAGCAAATTCGCCTTGTCATTGTTCTGGTTATTGACTTGTAAGCTAGATGTGAGGAACCTTTTTACTTTTGAACTCCTTTTCCCTCTTGTTATGAACTACATAAGCTACATTCAAAGTCTCATCAGTGCAATATACAGAAAACTATATTATTTTGAATAAGTAAATAGGTTGGATAAAAATAAATAATTTTGTAAACATCTATTTACAAGGTTATTAACTCATTGTCATTATAGTATTCTATTCTTAACTTGTTAGCATTTGAGTATTCAGTTGTTGCATAAAGATTTGCAGCTTTAGGTGAACTTCTAAATAGGTAATGGTCACCTTTTGGTGCCCTTCTGATTGTTGTGATTTGTGCAGTGCATCTTTTGTAACTCTCTTTCTAATTTAAAATATATGGGTCATTTGAGAGTTTTGGAGTTTCATCAACTTGATGTAGCAGTTCTTCAAATCTAGTACATAATCTTCAGGAAGTCAGGCAAAATAAATAAATA